TGTGGTATGTATATATACAATGGAATACTACTCAGCCATAAACAAAGACAAATTCATCCCATTTGCAATAACATGGAAGGGCCTGGAGGGAATTATGCTAAGTGAAATAAGCCAGTCTGAGAAAGACAAACACCAGATGATTTCACTCATATATGGAATATAAACAAATACATGGACAAAGAAAACAGTTCAGTGGTTACTGGGGGAAGGGGGTTGGGAGGTGGGCACAGGGGGTGAAGGGGAGCACTTATGTGGTGACAGTCAGGAAATAATGTACAACTGAAATCTCACATTGATGTAAACTATTATAAACTCAATAAAAAAAATGGTATCATTTGAGCAGTGACTTGATGGAGATAAGGGAATACGTGTTAAAGAAAAAATTATTCATGATACTTGTTAAAGAGGGTAAGGCAGGCTTTATTCAAGGGGGAACTCTGGCAACAGTATAATGGGGTCTAGCAGTGGGAGACAGGTCCGGCTCAACTCCAACTACAGCATGGGCAAGTGGGAATCAATAACCCAGGAGCAAGTCAGTGGATGGAAAATTACTGAGAAGAAACATCATGGGTCAGGGGGCATCCTGGCTAAACTGACCTACCGGGGTTCTTGCTGAAGGTGGTCCAGGGTGATGAGACATCATGTGGGGGATGGTGGAGGATGAGGAACCCCATCAAATATCAGGGGTGATCAGACCTGGAGGATGGCTCAACTGACTTAGCAGAATTCTTACTAAAATTGGGTGATGCAGAGAGGAACACAGAAATCCAAAAGTTGAGGCTAGTTGATAAAGAGCTCAGGGAGGCCGAGTAGAGTTAGGTCAGGGAGAGAGACTGTCACAAGCCGTGTGGGTATCCGGAGGAAGAGCATCCAGGTGGAGGGAAGAGCATGTGCAGATGCCCCGAGGCTGGATTGTGCAGGGTGTTACAGGAACAGCAAGGGGGCTAGTGAGAGCATCGGAGTGACTAAGGGGGGAAGAGATGAGGTCAGGGGGAGGGACACCTCCTCCTTTTAGGCAGTGAAATGACTTGGGCCTTTACCCTGAGTGAGATGAGAAGCCGAAGAAGAGTGATGTGGTCTGTCGTTTGTATATTCATCTGCGACCTAGATTTCTCTCCCTCTCCTTCCCTTGTCCCTCATTTTTTTTTTAATTTTAAATTTTTTTATTTTTTTTTCCTTTTTCTCCCCAAAACCCCCAGGTACATAGTTGTATATTCTTCGTTGTGGGTCCTTCTAGTTGTGGCATGTGGGACGCTGCCTCAGTGTGGCTCCATGAGCAGTGCCATGTCCGCGCCCAGGATTCAAACCAACGAAACACTGGGATGCCTGCAGCAGAGCGCACGAACTTAACCACTCGGCCACGGGGCCAGCCCCCCTCATCCCTCGTTTTTATTTTATTTTTTTTTAATTTTTATTATTTTTTTTATTGAGTTATTGATAGGTTACAATCTTATGAAATTTCAGTTGTACATTAATGTTTGTCAGTCGTGTTGTAGGTGCACCACTTCACCCTTTGTGCCCACTGCTTCACCCTTTGTGCCCACCCCCCACCCCACCTTTCCCCTGGTTTCCACTAAACTGTTCTTAGTCCATAATTTTAAATTCCTCATATGAGTCATCCCTCGTTTTTAAATCCATTACATGTCCTGTGCATGCTCCTCCGCTGGTTCTTTGCATGTCTCCTTCCTGTAGGAGGTGGCTTTATTCCTAGACCAGGCTGGCTGAGGTTTTACGGTGCGTTTCTTTATTTTTTCCTTTCCTTTTCTTCCCCCTGTGAGATAAGCAGCTGGGGAGGTTTCCCAGTGCCAGGGGCCTCTCTGACTGCCGCAGAGCCCACTGCTCCTTGCTCCCTGCGTGGGGCGCGTTTGTAGGGTTCCTCGCCGCCGCCTCTGCTACTTAGAGCCCGGCCAGCCCCAGCGAGGCCTGTGACCAGTGCGGCTGCTCCCAGGTGTCCCTCACCTTCCAGAAGCGTGTTTCCACAGCCGAGGGGCTTGTTTCGCCTTTATACCGCATGCCCGCCTGCGCAGTCTTCACTCTTTTTAGCTGCTCTTACATCTATTTCATGGTATTTGACTGTCTCCTTGCTTCGCCGAAAATGGAGTTTGTGGTTTTGTTTCTTGTTCTTTTGGGTGATTTCCAGGAAGCTGGAGGGGAATGCTGACTTGACGCCACCATCTTCGAACCCAGAGTCCTAATTATGGGTTTGGCGTTTCATTCCAGAGAACAAAAAAGACAAAGCTGTCTAGCTTGGTAGTGGCCTTTCATATTTCGAGAAGACAGAGTTAGAAAATGTAGTCTCTTACCACCCTTTGGACAAACTTGGTAGTGGTTGCTGCTGAAAGGCGGCGTGCCCGCAAAGGCCGGGGTGTGCCCAGTAGCCTGGTTCCCCGCCCGGTCTTTTGGTTTGTGGTTGCAGCTGGCTGCTTGAAGCCTTTCTCTAGACTTAGCCCTCCAGGGCAGGGACTTGAGCTGACTTGCAGCAGACTCTCTGTGACATGGTTCCCTTGAACGTGTCACCTTGCAGAGGGTAAGGTTTTCATGGCACTGGTGGGATCAGAGGCATCCGTGCTGGCCCACCTAGACGATTAGCACGGTTGCAAGTTCCCTTTAAGGGGTGAGGCATGCAGGCTAAGGCACTGGGCGCTGTCACCTCGTGTCTTCTGTATGCATGCAAGTGTCAGGCCTACATCTCTCCTCTTCTGTGTTTCTTAACCTTTCTCAGGTCAAGGGTCTCCTTGACGATATGACAAAAGCTATGGCTCTTCTCCCTAAAAATTAGCACACGTGTGGATGACTTTGTATATCGTTTCTGGGGTTCTGTGAGCGGCCCCTCTTTGAAATCATGGCCCCCAGTCGAAGGACCCCTATATTACGTCGGGTGAGATATTGGCACTATCCAGAGCCATGATCTCATTTTCTCCTTGTTGAGAGTTCTAGACAAAAGTCTGAGGGGGAAGTTCTTGGTGAGGTCTTGAGTTTTCCTTAATTTTACTTATTCAAGTTCATTCTATCCTCTTTTCCCAGAATCAATCAGGAATTGTCGGGTACACCTGAAATTAATAAGATGTTATATGTTAATTATAGCTCAACATCAACAAAACAAAAACCAAAAAAAAGTATTGTCTGTTTTCTCATTGTTATGAGTCTCAACTCCTTGTTGAACCATCTTGTTTCTAAAATTCTTGGCTCCTTGAGCTACTCTTGGACTAACCATGTCCCTCTTTTGTTGGTAGGAACTGAACAGACCTGTATATCATAAGGATGCCTCATTTATCTGCACATATTTTGTTAGTTTTGTATTCCCTCTGCTATATTCTTTCTTAATTAAATCAAAGAATGCCACAAGAGGCCCTAGGGTCATAAAATATTTACTTTGCTTACTCCCAAGGTGCTTCACTGCTTTTTCCTTCTTAGGCCATTGAGATTAAGGAAGGAAAAGGTTCTATTGATGTCATGATTATAATATGCCAATCCATAGTCAGCCCAGATCCGGTTCCCACGAGATTAACTGAAAATGTTGCAGTTAGATAGGAGCAGAACTGTCCTCAAGTGCTATTGTGTTGTTCAATTGATAAAGTTCATGAACTTATTTTGTCTCATTTTATTTCTGGGACATAGTAGTCAAGTAGATTTTTAAAAATATACTAGTGCATTAAAAATTTTTTTTAATTAGATTTCTGTTTGATTTGGGTTGTACAAAAATTAATAGAAAATTTTAATTAAATTTAAAAGTTAACTTATTTCAGAGGAATTTTCTTTTAAATTTTTGTATGCACTTTTTATGGGAGAGTAGGAAACAAAACCAAAATATTTAGCACATTTAAGTGACATAGAATATCCCCTGCTCCCCAAATTGCACATAATGCGAGCACTTGGTGAAAGTTTTTCACTAGATGTCTAGAGGAAATAAAAGGTAAACAGATTTAAACACCAAGAGGACAGAAGTTTTTAATGCTTTGATCCTCAGACCATTTTACTTTTGCTGTCTTTCTTTTTTTGGTTTTGTTGTCAAGAATCTTCTGCCATTGTATTACCATGTGACAGCAGTCATGCTACGTTCCCAAAGGTCACTTCAGAAACACATCGTTTTCTATTTACTGTGGATTCTCTTTCCGCTCGGGTTGACACTATTTAATCTCCTCAACTTCCTTTTCCACTCAAACCCCCATAGCACATTGACACTGTCGAGTTCTGTGGCGACAGGAAGAAACTGCCATCCAATAAAGGATGTAATGTCCATATTCTGTTACTCAGTCATTACCTACAGATGAATGAATGGACGGTCTGTTGTGAAATCCTTCTTAAATGATTTATGAACCAGGGAAATCTGGGCTTGGATGTCACCAAAGTGCGCACAGGGCCGTGGAGGGAGCCAGGAGGGTCTCTGCTGACAGTGGGGTGTTGTCTCCGTGTGTCGTACTGCCGACCTCAGACGGCTCCTCAGTGAGGCGTTCTGGGCAGAGAGGACGCCAGGCTAACACTGGTGTTGAATTACTCATGCATTGAAAAGGCAGTTGTTTTAGTCGGCGTAGTTGAGGAAGAACCTACAGCAGAGGGCTTTATTTTATTGTAGTCCTTCTGAAGAGATTGTAGCCGTGCGCATGTGTGATGTGTGCGGCTGCCACTTGCCCCCTTGCCCTTTTGAAGTCAGACATTTGTTGGGGTTCTCCCAGCGGGAGTGAAAGTGTCAGGAGGGCTGAGATGGCATGAGATTGCTCACTACTCCCCCGGGGCTCCCCATCAGTGTGCGTCCAGCCCTGTCCTGTAATTGTCAGTGGGCACCTGGCCCCCCACCAGGGGCCCTGCCTTCTCCATCCTGGCATCCAGGTGTCTGGTCTGAAATATGGGCTCAATGAACGTCTGCATCTTTGAACGAATTGATCGTGACTGGGACTGACTTTTGCTAATAAACAAGGTGAATGAAGGAAACGTGCTAATTTGACTGGGAAATTAAATTTCCAATATAAATTTTAAAATGACAATAGGAATTCCTCTCCTAGGAGATGCTCTCGGGGGTGGTGGTCGTGTCTGGCAAGGACCCAGTCCAGCACCAGGGCCTCTTTCTGACGGTGGAGGGGACCGTGAACCTGCAGCTCAGCGCCAAGAGCGTGGGCGTCTTCGAGGCCTTCTATAATTCCGTGAAGGTAAGGCTGCTTCGCTTGCACATTCCGGCTCATTGTTCGCGGGTTTGGGGCGGTTTTTACTTGCTGTCTGGCTTTATTATTGTTATCTGTCCTTATTTTACAAGATAAAAAACTGATAGTCATACTATTAATATTTACTCATCAAACTCAAAAAATACTCAGACATTTTGATTCTGAATACATCCTGTCGCTGGAAGTCAGCCTGTTCTCCGTCCTGTCAGATAGGATAGGAGGACTCGGGGGGACTAATTTCAGCCATCCAAGAGACCAGAGCTCCGAGAGGTTGTGCCTGTGGCTTCTGGCGCTTCCCTTTCCAGAACAAAATTGGCCTTTTCGCCATGTCGGCTGCTGCTCTTGGATCTGGCGTTCAGGTGAGGGGAGACAAGAGCCGTGGCCCTTCTTCCCTTTTTGTTGCGTAGGGTGGAGTTCTGCATTCCAGAATGTAAACTCTTTTTCTGTGCTTACGGTTTCCTCTTCCTGAAGGACATATGGACTCCTTAAGTTTTGAGGGGAACGAGTTTAGAGGAAGGACGGGGTCATTAACTGTGTTCACATTCAGGGCCTTCCTGTTGTTCCACAATGTGGCGACTCCCTTCGTAAGTTATGGACTTTCTTACAGTGGTGCTAACCCAAAGCTTAAAATACCTTAACTAGTTAGGTGTGCTACCCGCCTTTTAGGCAGGTCCCAAATGTTAGTGCCATCTCCCTCCCTGGAGCCCCAGCCGAGGCCTGCCCAGGGCTGAACAGAGGCCCTGCTTGGCCCCACGAGGCTGGCGGTGTTCAGGCCCCCAGGAGGCTGATGCCATCTGGAGTGGCATGAGCCAAGAAGACGCAGGCCGGTGAGGAGGACCATGGGTTCAGATGGCAGCCCTCCTCGTCAAGTACCTCCACTGTGCCTCATCCACGTCTTCCTTCTGAAGATGGGGTGCCTGCCGGGAGGGTCGGTGGGACAGTTAACTGAGGTATCTGGGGAGAGGAGAGGGAAATAGCGGTTTACTTCCTACTGTGCACCAAACACCTAAGCATCCAATACGGTCAGTGAGCCATTCTTGTGCCAAAGACTTGAACCGACTCCCCATTCATCTCCAGCTCTGTGCTGCCCAAGACACCATGATGGTAGCATGCCAGGGCTTGGGATACGGTGTGTTTCGGGAGAGATTTGAAAGTGCGTCTCACAGTGCGTGTTGTGGGCTGAGCTGGTTTTTCTTTGCAGCCTATCCAGATCATCAACAGCACCCTCGAAATGGTGAAGCCAGGGAAATTCCCCCCCGGCAAAACAGAGATTCCTTTTGAGTTTCCTCTGCACGTGAAGGGGAACAAGGTTCTGTATGAGACTTACCACGGCGTGTTTGTCAACATTCAGGTGAGTTTCCCGCCCCATGCGTTGACTGCATAACCTCCTTCTACAGAACAGCTGGGTCTCTCTTTCACTGAGAGCTAATATGTGGACCCGAGAATTGAACTCTGTCATTATTGCTGAGCTCTCCCACGGACCCTCTGTGGTGATTTCTCATTTTGCCCTGCAGAACTCATGTCATGTGTGAGCATTATTTTTGATAGGAATCCTGGAGGACCCACGCTGTAACTTCTTTTTAAAAATTGCTTTGTTTCCTTTGGGCTCTGTTCAGGCCACATGGGGGGCCTGTGAGGGGACTTTTATTGTTGGCCACAGATAGGCCCGCACTTCTCTCTGGCACCGGCACTGACTTGTCTGTTTTATATGTATAAACATCTCTGTTTAATACCAAAGGCTGCTACTTTAACACAGGCTTGTGTGTTTTCTTGAACAAACCTCGTGAGTGAGGGGAAGTGGATTTATGACTTCCCGTCTACCTCTGCTGGGCAGGCCCCTTCCACAGTTGCTATTGTTGTCTCGGGTGCAGTTTGGAGTCATGACTCAGAGCGAGAGAAAGAGAGCCTTTTCCTGTGTTCAGTGGAAAGAAAGGTGCTTTTGTGTGTCCAGCCTGTACCGGTTCCCCTCGCCAGAGGAGCCAGAACTATTTTGTCTTACGTGTGTGCAAGAGGGCTGAAGTTAGGAACTTTCTGATTTATTAAGTTTTAGCTGATCATTTTGTCTCGGTAGAGACAATTCCCCTGCTTAAAATATGGCACTTTTAAAATAGAAATCCTCAAAACACTTGAGAGAGTTTAACCAGAGGTTTGTCTGTAAGTTTTATGAATTGCCTGAAAGATCTGTCAAGAAGAAACCCGTGTGGTATGATGTACTCTATTGCAGTGCATGTCTGTGTAAAGAAAAAAACATTTCTAGGCCTTTATTATTGGTGCACCTGTTTCAGGCAGTATATGCACTGAAGGCCTTGGACAGCCCTTGGGCAGTAACAGTGATGATTGGGTGAGCATCTAGGTTCAAAGGGAGCAGCTTGCATAGACATACAGGTGGCTGATGTCCACACATATGTGCTCTGACCAGCTTTGTAGGGTGGAAATACCTTCACCATGAAAGAAGGTAAATGAAAAACGCCCTTTTAGCAAGACTGAAAATATCTCAAACGTTTCACTTGAAAATTATTTTTATTCTCTTTCCAGAATCAGCATTAACTTACATTACCCACACAGTAGTTCTTTAGTACTGTTTATTTAATAATACCAGCATACGTTCGTTAGAAACTGAACAGAATAATCTCAGATTTTCACTCGTCATACTTCTTGTTACTTTCCCCTATGTTTATCATTCTTGTTAAAAGATTAGTATGTTTAAAATAAAATTGGAAATCTCATCCTTTTCCAAATATTGCCAAGAAAGGCATACAGGTATCCATACAAAACTTGTGTACTTGTGTTCCCACATAGCTGTGTGTAAATTGGAAACTATTTCAAATGCAATAGGAGGGGCCATCCCCATGGCCGAGTGGTTAAGTTCGTGTGCTCTGCTTCGGCAGCCCTGGGTTTCGTGGGTTCGGATGCTGGGCACGGACCTACACCACTTGTCAGCCATGCTGTGGAGGTGACCCACGTACAAAGTAGAGGAAGATTGGCACAGATGTTAACTCAGGGCTAATCTTCCTCAGCCAAAAAAAAATTATATAGCAACAAAGACATTTTACATTTGTAATTTAAATTGTTTGATAGTAACATAATGTAAAAATCATACGACAGAGGAAAGGATTTAAAATGTAGCCAGTATGAAATCACCAACTTGCAGTGTCTGGGTGATGGAGGGCCTGATGATGTTCACGCGTCTTCTTCTCCATCACGTTGCATTCATTTCTCATTTTTATTATTACACAGTGCACTCAAGAATCTGTCAGTCTTTTCTAGTTGTCTTTTGTGCAACTATTTTTTTAAAAGTTATTTAAATTGTAGGCAAGTTTTATTATGTTCATTCTACTCTTGTGGCTGTACTAGCAAGATTCCATACTGTCACACAGAATAGAGCAGCACCAACACGTCTGCTGGCATTGTGTCTTCAGAATTAGTTTATAAGATGCTAGTCATGCTTTCTCACAGTTAAAAATATCCTTCTTAGGAGTCTGCTTTAAATCTAGACAGGCATCTTCTTTCTTTGTTCCTGTTGATATTGCGTTTACTGACAGTCGACAAGACTGCATCTTGCACTTCCTGTTGGCGCCCTGCTCAAGCCTGGCCCTCCAGACCCCTCTGACCTCCTGTAGCTCACACCACCTGGCTGGCTCCTTAGTAACTGGGAGAGATCAGGATAAAGTGAAAAGATCCGGGGCTCTGCGGCAGACAGATCTGGGCTTGAACTACAGTGTTACGTACAGGTTCAGAGCATGGGTTCTGGCAGCTGGCAGGTGTAAATTCCAATCCCACCTCTGTGACCCGGAGCAGCCTGCCTGACCTCAGCTCCTGGAGGGTTGATGAGGTCTTGGCGTGAAGTGCTTCGTTAGCATAGCAGCTGGCACAGAGGATGTGCCAGGTAATGTTTGGTGAGTGATTGAGTAAATGAATTAATGCTGACTGTCCTGATGATATCCTAACAGTTCTTATGTTTGTGTTGTTAGGATTGAGAAAGTGCACGGGAGGGAACTTACCCAATTCCTAGAACATAATGTCAGTGTTTTCCTCTTTTCTCCCCTCCCTCACTTATCACCGACTGGCTTATATTACTAATTATTGCTTTCACACCTAAAAAACATCTAGTGACCAAAAGTTGATGCCTGTATTCACATCCTTTTGTTGGCAAGTTATAAAAATCCAACCCAAATTGACTTAGCCAAAAAAGGGGTGTTGGACCTTAGGCCTCGCAACTCCAGCGGCATGTCGAGGCCGGGGCGGACCCCAGTCCTGTCTCCGGCTGGCTTTCTTCTGTGCCGGCTGCAGCCTCGGGCAGCCTCTCCCCTTGCCATGGCGGAGCTGGCGGCCAGCCAGTGGCTGCAGGGCTTACGGTCCACTGGGTTGGCAACCCCAGCAGAAGGGATTCTTTCCTGTAGTCCCAGCGCCAGTCTGGGCTTACTGGTCACTTCTACACCCAGGTCCGGGCGGGGGATGTCAGCCCTGCCTGCACCCGGAGACTAATGGGAAGTTCCCATCGGGAGACGAATCAGAGACCAGGCAAGGCGGAACAAAATACTGCCCCCTCTAGACCGCGTGTGGGGTGTACAGGAAGAGGACGATATGTATGTATACATACGTAATGCACACATAGACATACATATACATGTATAGTAGCCCAGCCCCCACTGAGCGTATCTGCTCGGGGACACCAGATTGAAATCTCCATAGAGAATATATATAAAAAAAGATCCTTGCACACAAGGGATGATTATTTAAAAAAAAAAATTTTTTTTAATGTTTTAAAAGTGGTACCTTAAATATCTAGTAACTTCTTGTTTAATGTAGACAGGTTGTTGATAATAATGTAGCTTCTTGATTCAAGTATGCATATAGTCCCAGTTATATAAATTATTTTTAATGTAATTCAGAAGTTTTTCCTGGGTGATTAAAATAGCAGCTAACTTTATTAAACACAGGTTATGCGATTTTTTTGAGATTAGCATTAAGACAGTGACCTTGCTGTGGAGTTTTGTTGCCAGTCTCTGGGCGCGTGGACGGGGCTGTGAGAACAGTCTCCGGTCGGAGCCTGCTTCACTCAGTGACCGGCTCTGCTGTGGGGCTCGCCCTCGGGGAGGCAGGGCCCACCTTGCGGCAGCGCACCGGCAGTGGCTCGTTCAGAAAAACAGCGTGGGGACAGCAGAGAAATCGAATGCGGCTGTTAAAAGCAAGATGCTGCGTTACTTCCACGCGCGCTTTATTGTGCACGCAGGATCCGTCTGTGTATTGGCCGACGGGGCGTGGGGCGCACTGAGGGAAGAGTAGTTGAATCAGATCAGCCCCGAGCTGACCATGGGGGCGTTGGCTGATGGGATGTGCGGCTTCCTTTCACTCTTCTTTGCCTTTGTATATGTTTGAATTTTCCAAAATAAAAATTTGAAAAAAGACTGTCCCTTTGTTATTCCTTCTTAAGGTTAAAATGTGAGGAGCTAGTTCTGAGATGTCCTGGAGTGCCGGTCTTTGGACCTTGTTACTGCGTGTAACTTGCCTTCAGTGCACAGATGCCCCGAGGGCAGGGTGTGACTGAGTCCCCCCACCCCCACCCCGCCCACGCCACGTGCCAGGCTGTGCGCACGGAGCCCTCGGCAGTGAGAGGGAGCGGAGAGCAACTCGCTTCCTCCAGTTGGTCTCTGAAGTGCCAGATGCTGTTCCAGCCATTTCTAGTCCTTGCAACATAGGTTTTCTAATCCTTACAACAAAACAGGTGCTGTTTTATCAAGAGCTGCCAGGCCCTGCACTAAATGCTTTTCACATGTGGTCTCATTTGATTCTCACTGAAGGCAGGTTTAATATCCCCGTTCCACGGGGCGGGAAGCCGAAGATCAGAGAAATTGTTGTTTGTCCGGGCTCACACAGTAAGACAGATAACTGGATTTGAGCTAGCTTCTCCTAAGTGCATGTTCTTTCTCTTCCGCCGGTCTGGTCTTTTTCTGTGTTCCAGGTAAGACCCTGCACCTGTGTTCCAGTGGGTCCAGCTACAGGACGGCTGTGGGACTAGGCTGAGGAACAACCTTAAAGTGTTTTTTGTTTTTTTGTAGAAAAGCGTTTATTTTGAGCAGTAACCCCCCCCATTATGTATATTCATTTCCTATAATACATTAATTGGACAGTTTCCCTAAAATATTGACTGACTTGCCTCTCTGAATATAATTCCAAGATGAAAGCAAATCGCGCTAAAATGACCTTTTCTTCTCCAACTTCTCCCTCTAGTACACCCTGCGCTGTGACATGAAGCGGTCTCTGCTGGCCAAGGACTTGACAAAGACCTGTGAATTCATCGTTCACTCTGCTGTAAGCTGTGCTTGGGGGCTCGGGGCCTTAATACTAGGACTCTTCTGTGGGGTCGGGGAGTTTACCCTACTTACAGGCTAATAAGTTAGCCTGTTACTGTTCTGTGGCTGCTGAGAGACACGAGACTCTGGGTCAGAGACAAGGGACCTGGTTTCTCCTGGCATAGCAAGCAGTGTGAGCATCAGCATGTGCATCATTCCCTTGGGCCCAGAGTCCCACAGGGTGATGCCACAGGCCCAAATGACACTGGACCTGAGGGGGTTCATGCCTTGGCTGAGGAGCACCAAGCTGGGGAGCCCACCTCTGTTACAGCAAGCAGTGAGCAAGCCTGCTCTTTGCCCGGAGGGAGACATCACCTCCTCCCTCAAGGTTGCTACAGCCAACACAGCTCAGAGATGGCCGTGCCCGGGTAAAGAATGGTCAGGGCCTCACAATTGTGGCATCCCCAGCACAAACATACAGGGACACTCAGGGCCAGGGTGGGTTGCCTCTCACAACACCTTTTGCTAATATTTCGCAGTGACAAAATGTTCTTTAAAAATTCCTTTCACATGCCAACTTAGGGGACTGGATCCCCTCCCCTACCACTGCAGGGGCTCCAAGTGAATTCATGGCGGATTCAGAGTCCTCTGCAGCCCCTCCCTGCTATTCCTTGGTCATCATGCAGAACCCTAGGAGTGACTGGCAGTGCCTGCCCTTGGTGTGACACTTTGGTGACAGATACTCATGCTGATAACCGTCGATTCCTCGTGTCTCTCGGGCCTTTCCGGGTCCTGTATCCCTGCTGCTGCCATGCCTGGGCCTTCCCTTCCCTGTGCTGCACGCTCACTGGACGGCCTCTGGTTCAGGGCCGGTCCTGCCCCTCCTTCCCGGTTCTGCTGTGGCCTGGTTCCCTCCCTTGACCAGCTCCCTAGACTCATCCTCTGGTACCTCTGGCTTCAATTTGAGTCTCAGCAGTTCAGGGACAAAAGTTAGCAAAACTGGGGTTCCTGGAGGTGTTCAGGCACGTGGAGCCTGGATGCGGTGGCTGAGAGTGGTACCAGAGCACCTAGCGGGCCTGCGGCTGCTGCCAGGCATCCTCCTGGGCTGACTCGGAAACACCGCTCCTGAGGGCCTCACAGAGCTGAAAGAGACCTGCCCTCTGTGAGCGTGTGGATTCCACGGGCCTGAGCCCATGTCACCGCATCACCTGGACTGCACAGCCAGCAAGGCCACGGCTTTCCTGGCTCGTTACATAGTGCAGCCCACAGCTTGAGTGCCATGAGCAGGACATTGCGGCCAGGGGCCCACACGTGTCCCACGCCTTTGCCAATGTAATAAACTACATTGTGATGCAGTTAATTTTTATGGAAAATTTGCAGTTGCGTTTCCTTTACACTATTATGAAGTGTCCATGAGTATCTTTTAATAGTGATTAAAAAGTAAAAATGTAGGTCTTGGGGCCAGCCCAGTGGCGTGGTGGTGAAGTTTGCACACTCTGCTTCGGTGGCCCAGGGTTTGCAGGTTCAGATCCCAGGTGCAGACCTAGCACTGCTCATCAAGCCCTGCTGTGGAGGCATCCCACATAAAATAGAGGAAGACTGGCACAGATGTTAGCTCAGGGACAGTCTTCCTCACACAAAAAAGGTAAAAATGTAAGTCTTAAGTCTCTTGTGCATAAGATTGGCAAAATCACTGATGTCCTTTATTTGTGTCATTTTTTTGACTTTTTAGGACTTCTAACAGTTGTAGCTTCCCTCTTTATAAATTTTTAATCACAGTGTTTGAAGTGTCTCTTTTAGTGATAAAATATATAAATTTGTGTAAAATATGAAAAAATATTTATCTTTTTTCAAAGTTATGTGATTTTGATGAATATTTTCCTTTGTTCCGTCAAAAGTCTTCAAACTGAAGCAAAAAAATTTTTTTAATGTAGATTATTACCTATAAAAGACATAATACCCTTTTATGTCCTTAATAACAAGAGTCTACAACTTTGTGAAGAAGAACGAGCCCAAATTCAGCCCCCTGCCCAGAGCCAGGCCCCAGCCTAGGGCCCCCACCCACAGCCTGGTCATGACTGCGCAGCCCCTTGTTGGTCAGCTCCCCTCAGGGTAGGCGGCCACGGCAGAGCCCGTGGGGCTTCCCCCTGCTCCCGGTGCTGTGTCAACACTCGGCTTGCAAGGCTGTGTTCCCTGCCAGTGATTTCACGGGAAGGCCAGACCTCACTGTGACCTGTAGTTGACAACACGTTAAATGTTCCTTACATTCTGAAGGAGGAGTATATTCACTAAAGAGTGTGCTCATGAACCTGTTCATAAAAAGAGTATCTCCAAGAAGAGTGGTCCCGAGAAGAAGCTTCTGGTCAGTGAGTGGAGTTGGCGGATTGGTCAGTGCCCTTCCTCCCCCACGGCCCCCCTGCCCTCTGGCATCCGTGGCCTTTGGATCCTGGCCCCTGAGTAAAGATGCCAGGCAGGCCCTGGCAAAGCTTGGCTATGTTGGTGGGTTCTGCAGTTACGTAATGTGGAGATGATCGTTGTTAATTAATTATGGTGACATTTCTAATTCATTAATTTATAGGTGTGATTCTTGCAGATAGACAGCTGTGTAGCTCAGTGGCTGACAGCCCTGGTGGTGGAGCCAGACCACCTGGGTTTGAGTCCCCCCTCTGCCACTTGCTTGAGCAAGCCATTGAGGCCCTCTGCGCCCCACTGTCCTCCTCTGTGAAGTGGGACCAGTGACAGTCATAGCACCCCAGAGGGTCATCGTGTAGATTCAGTGGCACACTGAGACACTCTGGTGTTAGCTCTCATTCTAAAAGCCAGGTTTAAGATACCTATCTCCCAGCAATACTATTCTGTTTCTTAGGTCTAATTTTTTTTTGTTTTCCTGAGGAAGATTGGCCCCGAGTTAACATCTGTACCAATCTTCCTCTGTTTTATGTGGGACACTCCTACAGCATGGCTTGACGAGCAGTGCTAGGTCCGTGCCCAGGATCCTGATCTGTAAACCCTGGGCCGCCAAAGCAGAGCATGCAAACTTTACTACGCTACCAGGCTGGCCCCTTTTAGGTCTAATTTTTAAATTCTGCACCTGAAAGGGACCTTAGAGACTAAGAAGTCTATCCCCTCATTTTACAGATGAGGAAACTGAGTCAGGGGGATGAAGAAATTTGACAGAGAACTGCACATTGTTGTTGGCAGAGCTGTGTTTAGAACCAGGCATCCTGCCTCTGGGTACCGGTTCTTCCTGGCTCGTTATGCTCCTCTTCATTCCTTTAAGAGAAAGAGGAGTCTGGGGGCCGGCTCCGTGGCCGAGTGGTTAAGTTCGCGCGCTCCGCCTCGGCGGCCCAGGGTTCGGATCCTGGGCGTGGACATGGCACCGCTCATCAGGCCACAGTGAGGCGGCGTCCCACATCCCACAACTAGAAGGACCTGCAACTAGGATATACAACTATGTACCAGGGGCGGGGGTTGGGAAATAAAGCAGAAAAAAAAAAGTTGGCAACAGTTGTTAGCCCAGGTGCCAATCCTTAAAAAAAAAAAGAAGATTGGCAACAGTTGTTAGCCTAGGTGCCAATATTTTAAAAAAAAAAGAGAGAAAGAGGAGTCTGACTGTGGAACTCTTGGCCCTCAAGCAGCTGATTTTGGTTTTCCTCCCGTTTCAGCCTCAGAAGGGGAAACTGACCCCGAGCCCCGTGGATTTCACCATCACACCTGAAACCCTGCAGAACGTCAAAGAGGTAACGTGTGCCTCACGCTCCAATGCCTGCCGGGTGTTTTCTTAGAAACCATGTGCCCCTGACAGACTGTTGCCCCGTGTTCTCTATTTGGGCATGAAATTATTCTTTTTTCCCTGCCTTCAGTCTGAGTGATTAGGTTTGTGAGGGTTGTGGGTTTTTTTCTGTTTATATTGTTGTTTGCTCCTTTTTTCTCTAACATCCTATTTCTACTTTCCTAGTTTGTTGTTAGTGCCGTTGAGTCGATTCTGGCTCCTAGCAACTCTGTGCACAGCACAGAGGAACCCTGCCAGGTCTTTCTGCGCCGTCCTCTCCCCTTCCGGGACTGTGGCAGACTGTGCTCTGCTGTTCACAGGGCTCTCAGGGCCAGTGTTTCAGATGTGGGCGGCCAGGTCCTTCTTCCTCATCTGTCTTAGTCTGGAAGCTCCGCTGAAACCTGTCCACATGGGTGACGCTGCTGGTGTTACTTTCCTAGTAGTTACCCTTAAGTGTTCAAACATACATAGACCATTATAAGTTTAAGACAATTGTAAGCATTGAGAATAAGTACCTTCTGGCCCAAGGTTTGTAACATTTTTGCATTTTTCTCCCATCACACTCCCCCCATTTGTTGAAGTCATCTGAAATCTAAGTTCTGGTTTGTCATTTATTTTTCCAAATGTTAAGCCTTTATTGGCTTAGAAACCATTTCTTAATAGTTGCCTGAAGTATCATAGTCATATTATCTAGCGTTAACCGTTAAGTTTTACCACATTCATTGCTCACCATTGTTTTCACTTGCTTATGTTTTCTTCGATTTATTTTTTGTTTAGCTGGAATACATCCTACTGTCATTCTTTCAGAAAGGGTAAAGAGTGAACTTAAAATCCTTGAGTGTCTGAAAAATATCTTACTTTGATGTCACATTTGAATCCTAGCTTGTTAGGCAGAAAATTCTAGCTCTAATATCATTTGCCCTTAGAACTTTGAAAGACAGCTCCCTGGCTTTCTGGTGCCTTGTCATACTGAGGCCAATCTGATTCTCAAATGTGTGTGCTCATCTGTTTCTTCTCTCTCTCTCCCCTCCCCGACAAAAAACTTCCAAGATCTCCCACCCTTCATGTTCTAAAATTTCAAAGCACTTGCCCAGGGCTGGATCCTTATTTTGTCAGCATGCCCGGCATTGGGTGGTCCCTTTAGTTCGTTCTGAAGGCTGAACCTTCTTCAGCTCCGTGAACTTCTCTTGTGTTATTTCTTAGGTGCATCATAGGAGAACCCGTTGGCTTCACCTATAAGCTCACTAATGTGTCTTCAGAGAGTACGTAGCCCGTGTGTTCACCTGTTCACTTCACTTCGAAGCATGATTTCTTTTTCAAGATCGCCGTTCTTTTATCCCAGACACAGTGCCCTCCATCTCTGTTCCTGTATGGATGCTGTCTCTGAGGGGGCTGGCTCTAATGTGTGTTGAGTGTATGCCTCTTTTTCATGCTTTTATTTTCCTCAAACGTTGATTAGTTCCTGGTTGTCAGTTTACGTGTATAGATGCGGATCTAATGCGTATGGTCTTGGTAACTGGACTCTCGCTTTAGCCCCAGTGAGAGTCTGTTCCTCTGATTGTGAGCGCATCTGACCAGAGCAGCCTTGTCTTGAGTGTCGTGCAGCGGGAGGAGGCATTCAACCCTGGGTGCTTTCTTTTACGGGGTGTGGGCAGCCTGTCTTCCGGGTCTGGGGGCTCCCTGTCCTGCACTGGGGCCATAAATGGCTTGGGACACTTGCCCTGCCTTGCCCAGCCTGCTTTGGGAGCCTCCTCGGTGGGAAGTCCCCCTCGAGGGAAGCTGTGGTGCCAGCCTGGGGCAGGTGCTGACTCCTGGGGCTGCACACGGCCAGTTTGGCCACCCTCTGATGTGTTACCTGCGACTGTCCGCCCCTGCCCTTCCTGGGTGGCCCCCACCTCTATCTCGGGGCTGCCCGGGCGCTGTGGGAACCCTTGCTCGCAGAGCTCTCTCCGCCAGCTGTAGGTGTGGTCCCCTGGGCCCTCACGAGCTTCCCTGTCTCCGTCCCCTTCCATCGCACAGAATGCTTCACGGGGGCATCTCCGGAAGGCGTTCTGCGTCGCTTTGCCGGGCGCAGGCTTATTTGTGGTCCTGTCAGTGGGAGGAGAGGTGAGATGGATGTTGGTCAGTGTCTACAGCTGGACGTGAGATTTTTCATCAGCTGCCTAAAAGGATTTTAATGTAGACTGCTACTGCTTTCTATTTTTCTAAACTAATAGCTTCTTTTACTTTTAATTATTTTTAGAATTCTGTCTTAAATCAAAACTTTTTTAGAGTTCTCTGCCTCTGGGGCCCACCAGGACGGAGCACCTTGCTTTTCAGCGCTGTCCAGTATGGTGGCACCAGCCACATGTGACCACCGACACTTGAGATGTGGCTGGTGTGAACTGAGATGCGCTGTAAGCAGAAGACGCTGACTGGGTTTCAGAGACTCAGTGTGAAAGAGGATGTGAAACACCACTCATAATCTTTTAATAGTGATTATATGTGGAAGTGATAATATTTTGGATATATTGACTAATTTTACCTGTTTCCTTTTACTTTTTTAAATGTGGCTCCTAGAAAATTTTAGATTACGTGTTTTGTGGCTTACCTTGTGCCTCTCTTGGACAGTGGTGTTTAAGCTTTCTTTACCTTCAGTCACGGGGACGCAGCGAGGTCAAGGCTGCGAGAAGCGTGGTCCATAACTGCCGGTCTGTGTCCCGCGGGAGCACCCCACTCACTGTGCCCAGTTTCCTCTGTCTGCAGAGAGACGCTCCACAGGCTTTTAGGCGAGCATTAAAGAACATTGTTCTCTGTAAATTTCCTTGAAATAAAATAACTGTCTTGGCTTTTCAAAATTGCATCATTGGGAATATTTCAAAATTGATTATCTTTTTAAATGTTGTGTGTGTGTGTGTGTGATTGGTTGTCCTTAAACACTGTTGGCAACTTCCTCAGACTTTCTTATGTCACATTCTTTGGCGAGAAGGGGCTTTCCAGATCTGATCTAGGCAATTCGGATGATTCTGAGAAAGCGCTGGTCCTTCTCTACAGGCAGTGTCCGTCAGGTGCCTTATGTCTGTAGACTGAATGGAATAATTCAGTCTGTTAATTAAGTTGACAGAAGATCTAAGCACTGTTGGACCTTTCTTCCTATTTTGTAAAAGAGCATCCCAATGGGTTTTATAAAAATTATCCAACTTTGTTTTCAGTTGTTTTTTGTTTGTTTGGTGTCTTTGTTTTGTTTTGTTTTTGCTGAGGAAAATTAGCCCTGAGCTAACATCTGTTGCCAGTCTTCCTCTGCTTTTATTTGTGAGCCCCTGCCACAGCGCAGCTGGATGAGTGGTGTAGGGCCACGCCCAGGATCCAAACCTGTGACCTGGGCTGTGAAGCGGAACAGGCTGAACTTAACCACTAAGTCACCAGGCCAGCCTCTGTTTTCAGTTTTTATTTGTACCAAAGTGACTATTGAGTACTTTCTCTTGGCACCTTCCGTTCCTGATGTATTTGTGTTTGTTTTGTCCTAGAGGGCCTTGCTCCCTAAATTTCTCATCAGAGGACATCTCAACTCCACCAACTGTGTTATCACACAGCCACTGACAGGAGAGCTGGTGGTGGAGAGCTCGGAGGCCGCCATCAGGAGCATCGAGCTGCAGCTGGTGCGCGTGGAGACCTGCGGTAAGTCAGGCCCAGCTGCTGCGTGCAGTCGGCGGTTAATGTGCTGTGGGTGGAACAGAGGGAGGCAGGCCTCTTGATCCCACGAAGTGTGTGTGTGAGGGAAGTGAGACGTGGAAGGAAGGGGACGCCCCAGAACCCTGAGAGCAAATGGGAGCAGTCAGCGAGCATGTGGACACGGGTTCTCATGGAGTCTCGGGCCTGTGGATCAGCTTGCATGTTGGCTGTTTGCTGACCACAGATGCTTCTCCCTTCTGCAGGGTGTGCGGAAGGCTATGCGCGAGATGCCACGGAGATTCAGAACATTCAGATCGCCGATGGGGATGTCTGTCGGAGCCTCTCTGTCCCCATATACATGGTCTTCCCCCGGCTCTTCACCTGTCCCACGCTGGAGACCACCAACTTCAAAGTGGGTAAGTGTGCTGCTCCCACCCTCGCAGGCCTGGCGGGATTCTCCTGTGAAGAGGGCAGAAGGGGCCACGCAGTGTCGGGGACACTTACTTGTCTGGGTCGGGCACAGCTCAGAGCACTAGGTCCTTCAGTCACTCAGCAGAAGCTGAGAAGCTGCTGTGACCTGGCTCTCGAGGAACTTGTGTCGTCACACAGGGAGACGGCAGCAACCATGTCACTGTGGGCCAGGGCAGGTGACGATAAGGAGGGACGAGCCAGCAGTGTGCACGGGGAAGTCAAGTTGGCTCCTGCGATTGGCAGAGGAGGGGAGACCCAGAACGCGACAGTCCAGTGTGGACATTAATCACCATGAAGCTTTTGTTCCACCAGCTTAGGGTCCTAGTCATTCTCTGCCATGACACATGTAGACGGTTTGACCACAAGATCCAAATCATGTCACAGACACGGCTTTCTTTCCTGCTTTTTCTCCCTTCACTTTATGCCATGAACATTTCCGTGGTTTTAAATAGTCTTATAAAATATGTTAACGGTGCATCCATCCTAATAAAATGGCCATGCTTATGAAGTTCAGTGGAGAGGGCAACCCTCACTCCAAGGACACAGGAGGGCCAGACCCGAGGGACTTTGCCCTCGCTGACACGACGTTCTGCAGACTTATTGGAAAGACCACGAAAAGTGTCCCTGGACTTTCCGGGGACAACCTTCTGAGTCATGCCCAAGGCTCCTCGGTAGATGGATGTGATGAGGGGGTTTTGGTAATTGCTCCTGCTGTTACAAGTGCTTCACTGAGAAATGGGAAGATGGTCCCTGAGGCCATTACGTTTTATTCATGTCATATTCCCCCTAAATCCCCTAAATCTTTTAACGTGCGTTATTATTAGTACAGAGAGCATCCTTTTTTTAATTAGACCATAATTTTTCTTTCCATAATTCCAGATAATGTAACTTAAATTTTAAGTCAGCGGTTGCGTCACCACAGTTGAGTGTGTGCTCTTTAAGAGCGGGAAGGGTTGCCATGTCTGTCACTGAATCGCTGGGTGCTTTTTGGACTCTCTGTGCCTCCGTGTGGAGTGTGTTCCTGGAGCACGTGCACCTGGTGGGTTAGAGGCACAGTTTAATGTTTGTGGAGCCCCTGAGTGCTTCATTTGAAACATTCATTGTAGGGAGAGCACAGTGGGGTCGGGGCACCCATGTCAGCAGAGAGGGCAGCAACTCAGCGTTCGCCAGACTCACAAAAGGACGGCCAAGTCTGCTGACATCTACGACACGCTGAGGTACCACGATTTATCTCCAAAAGCGTGTGTATGATTGTCGTTGAATCGATAGTGTGTGCCCACAGGACACAGTCAGAGGCGCCAGGGGCCCGGAGTGCAGAGTACGTGCCCTCAGACACCCAGGCCCACCCCAGACCACAGGTCCCGGTGGAGGTGCCCCCAGGGCCGCCGGCGTCTTGCTCCCTGGCACACCGCATACTGTGCCCCGAAGGTGGTATTTTTTACTTCAGAATACTTTGATTTTAAGATAAAGAGGAGGAGCTTGTCTATTGATTTCATAACTTGGTTTTCCCACATAAACCTCAAAAAGGTCCAGAAAAGTATTTTTTCTGCTATGCTAAATGTTAAACACTGAGGTTTTTGTGTGTTATTCCTATGAGATTTACAAAGCACCCACGTCACGGCCACGTGGAGCCTCTGGTCCCTCCATGTGGGTAGCGCCCTCAGTCCCTCAGCCAGGACATCAGGATGCGCTCGTCCTTGTGCCCTGTCTGGAGCTGAGTCTGGTTTGGGGCTTGCACAGCCCCAGACACTGTCATTTATGGGAGTCCCCACAGAAAAGAGGTGACGTGCGGCCTTTGTGTGAGCGCTGCAGCCTCTCCTGGGTCCCGGGCTTGCTGTCGCAGGGCTGGCTGAGGGCAGGCTCGGCGTCCCAGGGAGGATCGGCCCCTCCGGGTTGGGAGGTGGGCGAGCCCTGTGTCCTGAGGTCGGAGCAGTGTCCCCTTCACCTGTGCTGGTGCTGACCACTGGGACGTCACCTGTGGGTGGAGAGCGTCCCCAGCAGGAGCTCACCGGGAGTTTGGGGCGGACTGGCGGCTCGATGCCGGGGCTCTGCCGAGTTCTCTGCCCTGAGGAAGGCCAGCACTGGCGCCCCGAGTGCCCGCCTGTCCCCTCTGTCCACTCCAGCCAGCTGCGCTCCATCCAGGGAAGGACGACGAGGTGGCTGGAGGAGGAGGGTAACAGGAAGGTCCTGGGGCTGTCCTCGTGCTCTGACGATGTCAAAGGAATGTGACAGTTGGGCGCTGCTGCCGCCTGACTCCCGTGGTGGCTGGCGCTTGGGCAAAGCTGGACAGCCACATGGGGGGACATGTGGGACTCCAGCCACAGGTGGGACCTCGAGTGAGCTGCCCCCTAGCCCCTCCCTTCGCCTGCGCTCTCTGCCCTCAGAGCCCCTCCCCCTGGGACGTGGCCGCTGTCTTCAGGGGCCCCCTCCTCACACACACCCCACTTTTGCTGTCACCAAGGCCTCCTCGTGTGCCCACAGGTAGGAGGTGGACATTTGAACAGGGGTTTCAGATAAAGGACGGCCGGCCAGTAACGGCGCCATCTCTGCCTGTTCTCTCTCCCTTGGGGTGGGAGGCGAGCACCCGAGCTGCTGCGGTCCAGCCTGGAGGCTGCGATTCCATTAACAGCGGTAGGAAAGGTGAAAATAGAGCAAAAGAATACAAACGAATGGAAAGGATTCTGGAAGATTCTCTAGTAAAGACAAAGGATAAGGAGAGCGTGGGTGGGGAAGCTGATGCCTTGCAACTTGCTCCCGTGTGAGAAGGCAGGTTTGTGTGGAGCAAGTGCACCAGAGGCAGGCAGACCCCAGTGGAGTGGCTCCCGGGGTCTCGGGGAGCTCAGGCTGCTGGCCGGGGACAGGAGTGGGGCGCCCATGCGGCGCCCCCTCCGTGCAGAGCCGGCTGCGCCCCAGTGGTCCGCCTGTTCCCCTGCGGGAGCCAGCGCACATCAACCCAACCCTTCTCTCCCCAGAGTTCGAGGTGAACATCGTGGTGCTGCTCCACGCCGACCACCTCATCACCGAGAACTTCCCGCTGAAGCTCTGCAGGGTGTAGCCCGGGCGCGGCCTCTGCCTGCGGGCTCTGCGGGCATGGACGGGACTCGCAGGTGGCAGAGCCCTCCTCCTCCTTTCCCCAGCGCGGGCGCCTCTCATCGGACCTTTGCTTTGAGGTTCATCGGGACTGCTTCCTGTCACTGGCAAGATCATCTCCCAGAAAGCAAAGTTTCCTGCCACTCCTGACTCCCCCGCCCCTCGTGAGGGTCAGTAACACGGTGTGACAGCAGTTGAGATTCCAGGGAGAAAAGGAAACCCTCCCTGCCTGGCCAGGGGACTCCCGACAGCCCAGGATGGCGACGAGCATGCTGGTTGCTTGTGACGTTTGCAGCGACCCCCGAGGAGGCGTACAGAGTGGCACCCCCTGGAAACGGGGCACTTTACCCCTCTCTTGTGTAGTTCTGTACCATTTTTCATGCTGACTTCAGAACCTGGAGGGAACTGGACTAAGTGTTCCTTGCTCTGCTAGGAGCGAGGGGATTTGGTGGCGATGGCGGTGCTGGAGTAATTCTGAAGGCTCAGGAGCTGGTGTAAAACCGTGTGCTGCCCTATTCCCAGAATACATTTAAATGTAAGGTGGCGTAAGGGGGAAACCCGCATGTCCGTGTCTCTTGTTGGGTGGGTTCTGGGTGGCAGGAGGCCTGTGCCCAGGGCAGTAGGTGAAGACCCCCGTGTGCTGGCTGGTGCCAGGAGCATGCCCTGGCCTTGATGAACTGGCCTGCCTCCCACCCCCAGGCTTTGGCCTGGAGCCCGGTTCTCCTTGTCCTCCTTGTGAGTCACGGTGAGAGGCGAGCCTGTTGCAACACATTCCTTCCTGCAGATCCTGCCATTGTTCCTGTCGGCCCACAGTCAGCCAGGCCTCGGAAATGAGCTGTGTGCTGCCCGCTCCCTGCCCTTCCCTGACAGGCCCTCCCGGGCAGGCGTGGGCGAGACGCACCCTGCTCACGGCCCGGCTGCGCTGCCCTTGTCCTGGCACAGCCTTGGGCCGGGTGGTGCCGAGGGCCACAGACCTGACCAGGCGCCGCTGTAGCCCAGGGCTGCACCAGCGAAACTGATACAGCTTGCCCACAGAGTCGTGTCAAAGCTGGTTCCCAGGGAACACGTTTCTGGTCGATAAGTCTTTTATGCTCACATGATGTTAATAATTATCTTTGATGATGTATTTAAACTAGATAGCAGAAAACAAAAAAACAAAAAGGCCATAACTTCTGGGAAGTTTCAAAGAAATCATTTGTAATGTAAAAAAACAGAATTTTGAGAAAGGTTCGGATTGTATATTGCTATATAATTTTTTTAGTAAACCGGTTTTATGGATGTAAACATGTAAACATGATGAGTGCTCTCCTTAGGGAATAGTATTACCTGAGCTGCCAGCAACCCGGCCAACTTTGTCATTTCTTCCGCCCCTGAGGGGCCCAGGCCAGGGCCTCGGGCAGGCCCTTTCCTTCCCCCTCTTGGCCGGATTCCTCTCCCCGTCAGTGATTAAGGAAGACGCAGATGTCGGGGCATCTTGGGCAGCAGCTGCCCCTCTGTGCCCCGCTGGCTGGAGCGGGGATGTCCACTGTCCGAGCTCAGTTGTCAGATGCTCCCCGTACAGCAAGAGGAGAGGAGAGGAAGCGGAGGTGAAGGCAGGTCTGAACCGTGAGTCGAGGACTGTGGTATTTTGGAAATGCCCCTTTAGGCAGGAACACATTTTGGCTGTCGGAGCTCCAGCAGAAATGGGACCTGGCTCTGCTTCTCAGCTGCATTGTGAGTTCCACAGTAAAGATGGAGAGGTAAATCAGAAAAGGATAAAAAAAGCCGAAGCATCGGGCCTGAATTCATCGAGAGTCTGTGTCCCGAGCCCACCTTCTGGTGGGAGGTGGAACCCTGACCTTCACCATTGGAGTCTTGTAATTCCCAAGGCCGAGTGTGAATCACCCTTTAAAAACTGGAGGCGCTGAGATTACCTCCCGTGCCAGCAGTGATGTATTGATGAAGCGGATTGCCCGTGTGCTTCCACTGTCCCTCTCTGATCCCCCTTCTTGTTCAGAAATAAGGTTGTATTTCCATGACCCATGCCTGCCTGGCTAGGGACTTATTTCTGACTCCCTTGCAGCCAGGTGTGGTCATGTGACAACGGGGACGTGGGCCACTGGAGGCTGGACCCCATCAACCCCTTCCCATGGCTGGGCCAGGAACAGGCCAGTGTCCCAGCCTGGACTGTGCCAGAGCCCAACAAATGTGTGAGCAGAACAGCTCACCTTGCCACCCTGTGTCATCGTCACAGGAGAGAGAAAGGCATGGACTTGTATTCAAGCCACTGGATTGCTGGGGGTCTTGGCTGCAGCAGCCCAGCCCCACCATAGAGCTCGTGATGAGAGGGGCAAGAGTTCACATGTGCAGGGGTCTGGTCCCATCTGGTGCCTCTCAGAGAGCCTGAGGTACGTGCGCGTGCAGAAGGACATCTTTGTGCCCACCCTCTGAGCCAAGACTTGACTTCAGGACTCTCAGAGGTCCAGAAGCTTGCGTGGACCCAGCCGGTCAAGTGCCATGACTGGGTAGGCTCGGCATTCCCTGGGGCCATTGCTGCTCATCCAGTGGCCCCAGAATCCAGCTGGACCCAGCCCTACCCAGTGAAACCCTGACCAGAGTGGAAGGAAAATGGGCTGGTTTTCACCATCACTCACTGTTCAGATAATTAAAAAGAGTGAGTTACGGGGGCCGGCCTGGTGGCGCAGCAGTTAAGTTCACACGTTCCCCATCGCCGGCCCGGGGTTTGCCAGTTTGGATCCCGGGTGTGGACATGGCATTTGCTTGTCAAGCCGTGCTGTGGTAGGCGTCCCACATATAAAGTAGAGGAAGATGGGCATGGATGTTAGCTCAGGGCCAGTCTTCCTCAGCAAGAAGAGGAGGATTGGTGGCAGATGTTAGCTCAGAGCTAGTCTCAAAAAAAAAAGAGCTATGGTTTTCCCAGAGAGAGGTGTCTACTTAATACCAAGAGTGAATTCTGTATTGACACCTGTAGTGCGTCCCTTACACGGTACATTTTGGGAGGAGAGCTGCTATCTGGTGCCAGCTCGCAAACGTCTTTGAAACTTGCCAGGAGGTGCTACCTACAGTGAGGCTAACCCTCCTGTTCTGGAGGGACGGGCCACTCGCTGCTCCTGCTCAGCGGAGCTCAGTTCTGGCAGCTCCAAGTTGCTGCAGTGTTGACAGATACCAGCCATGGGTGTGGGTCTAATGAGAGCTGTATGAGCATCAGTCATCCTGGAGCAGGCCCTGTTCTCAGTGCCATGCGTGGGTTATTTTATTTCATTGTGTAGCGACCCTAGGAGGAGGGAGCTGATATTCTCCCCATATATGGAGGAAATTGCAGTGGATGGAAAGGCACTTGTCCATGTGGCCACATGTTGCCCGAGCCACACACTCTACTGTAGTGCAGTAAAATTAGAAATGACTACCAAGGGGAAAATCCAGTATAACCACGTGTAAATGTTATAACACTCTTCAAGGAGGAAACCAAAACTTCATTGACAGACCCTTTTAAACAATGAGAATGAGCATACCATATAGCAAGAGCTTTGTATTATGGCCAGTGCTGCAGTCAGAGCAAAATTCATAGCCTTAAGTGATCTTACTACACCACAGAGAAGGAAAACTGAGTTAGGCATTCAAATTAAAAGTCTAGAAAAACAGCAAAACAAAGAGGAAAGAATTAATGACAAAAGCAGGAATTAGCTGATAGGAAAGCAAAAACCCTGGAAAATTTTTAAGTCCATGATTTGGTACTTTGAAAAGACTAATTCAATGGCAGATCTTTAATAGAACAAAACAAAACAAAGAAAAAGAAATATGTAATAACTTAAGATTGAAAGCAGCTTGATGAGAATGATATTACAGTATGTACCTTCCCTGCTAATAAACTGCAAACTTCAATAAAATGCAAAGTGACTCCAGAAAAGGTAGGCTACCTGAATAAAATGATACCTTAGGGAAGAAATTGAAAAAATTGGCAAAGAGCCCTAAAAAGGTGCCAGGCCCAGATGGTTTTACAGCAGGTTTTTATGTGAGCTTCAAGGACCAAATAGTTCCTCTGCTGTTTAAACTGTTGCAGGCTATAGAGAAGGATTTGAACCCTCCTGATTTATTTTACGTGGCCAGTGTAGCTCTGTTATAAAAATCTGACATATCAGTTGGGATTAGGTTAGCTGTGAGTAAGGGAAACCCAAAGTTAGAGTGGCTTAACCAAGACTCCCATACCTGTCCACAGGTAGACAGTGCAGAACTGGCATGGCAGCTCAGAGCCATGACATCCTCAGCAATCCAGGCTGCTCCCAGCTCACTTTTCTAGGATGTGGCCCTTGTCTTCATGGTTTAAGATAGTTGCAGCCAGTTCCAGTCACCACATCTGCATTCCAGGCAGCAGGATGGATGGGGGCAAGGATGAAAGTGAAAAAAGAGAAAAGGCCGGGTGCCAGCTCTTTTAAGGATCATCTTGATGGATGCCATAAGGTATATCTTCTTTTACTTTAACCTTTTATTTTGGAAGTTTCAAACATATACAAAAGGAGAGAATCATACACAGATGTCATACCCAGACGATAGCTATTCTTTTCCTTAACATCTTTATTGAGATATAATTCACGGACCATGAAATTCACCCATTTAAAGTGTACAAGTCAATAGTTTTTAGTATATCCACAGAGTTGTGGAACCATCACCACAACCTAAATTTAGAACATTTTCTTCACCCCAAAAAGAAACCCTGAACCCATTGGCAGGCAGTTGCTTCCTTTCTTCAGCCCTAAGCAAACGCGATGTGCTGTCTGTCCCCATAGGTCTCCCTGTCGTGACATCTCATAGAATGGAGTCATGCACGTGGGGTCCTTTGTGACTGGCTGCTTTGACTTAGCCTCAGATATTTAAGGTTCATCCGCATTTCACCTGTATCAGTCCTTCATTACTATTTATTGCCAAATAACATTCTGTTGTCTAGATAGACCATTTGCGTTTGTTCATTCATCAGTTGACAGACATTTGACCTGTTTCCACTTTTTGGGTATTAAGAAGAATGCTGCTGTGAACGTTCATATACAAGCTTTTGTGTGGACATAAGTTTTTATTTCTCTTAGAAATGCATCTAGGGATAGAGTTTCAGGGTCACGTGATGGCTTATGTTTAATGTTTTGAGGAACTGCAAATGTTTCCAAAGCGTCTGCACTATTTTACATTCCCACCAGTAAGGCACAAGGGTTCCGTTTTCTCCACTTCCTTGTCCCACTTGTTATTGTCCGTCTTTTTTATTGTGTCCGTCTGGTAGGTGTAAAGTGGTGTCTTGAGATTTTGATTTGCATTTCCCTAATGACTGAGGATACTGAACATCTTTTCATCTGCTGATTGGCCATTTGTATCTCATCTTTGGAGAAATGTCTATTCAGATCTTTGGGCCATTATGTAATTGGATTATTTGCCTTATTATTATTGAGTTATGACAGTTCTTTGTATATTCTGGATGAAAGTCCCTTTTCGGATATATGACTTACAAGTATTTTCCCTCAGTCTGTGGACTGTCTTTTCACCATCTTGATGGTATATTTTGCAGCATAGAAGTTTTAAATTTTGATGTAGTCCAGTTGATCTATTTTTTCTTCTGTCACTTGAGCTTTTGGTGTCACATCTAAGGAACCATTGCCTAATCCAAAGGAAAGGGAGATTTACTCCTTTGTTTTCTAAAAGAGTTTTATAGTTTTAGCTATTAGATTTATGTCTGTGATCCATTTTGAGTTAATTTTTTGTATGATGTGAGGTAGGGATCTGACTTCATTCCTATGTGGATATCCAGTTATCCCAGGACAATTTGTCAAAGACTATTTTTTTCCCCATTGAATGGTCTTGGCACCCTTGTCAAAAATCAGTTGTAACAAAAATCCTAAATATATGGGTTTCTGGACTCTCAAGTCTATTCTCATGTCAGCACCACACTGTCTTGATTTTTGTAGCTTTATAGTAAGTTTCGAAATTGTGAAGTGTGAGTCCTATAACTTTTATCTTCATTTTTGAAATTGTTTTGGCTATTCTGGGTCCTTTGCATTTCCCTGTGAATTTTAGGATCGGCTTGTCAAATTCTACAAAAAAGCTAGCTGGGGTTTTGATAGGGACTGCATTGAATTGGTAGATCTATTTGGGGAGTAATTATCATCTTAACAATATTAAGCCTTCCAATCCATAAACCTGAGATGTCTTTCCTTTTATTTAGACCTTGTTTAACTTCTTTCAACCATGTTTTATTGTTTTCAGTGTACAAGCCTTGTACTTCTTTTGTTTAATTTATTTCCAACTATT